AGTTGATTGCTGAAACCGTCTTAGCCTCCATTCTCTCCATGTATTCCAATTCCTGAAGGCAATTGATTACCCAAATTATGTTTATCTTTAACAAAGTAAACAAGGCAATTGTGTAGTCACAAAGTTAGAAAAGAGTGTGCATAACTGCACTTCACTTTAAATGGTCTAGAGGTTTTTATAGGAGAAAAATCAAAGAATTAACCATCTAGCAGTAAGAGGAAAAAAAATATCAGTAGACAAAATAAAAAAAAAAAAAAACCTTACAAAGGCATTGCCAAGGATACCAATAGACAGTGAACCAAGGACGATACTACTCCACAACAGTAATTTTGTCTTGAAGGCAAGATCTAACAACATCTAATCCTTTGTCATGTTAGTACTACAGTTGCATCCATGCAGCGGTTTGTAAGATATACGTTTGAAGCAAGAGATTTCCATCTGTGGTTAATCTGTGCTATGACCATTTTTAAAAGTCATTGTTCTTTTTATTCTTGCTAAGTAAATAACGAAACTGAGAATGCACCATGAACCTTTGAGAAAACAGCAATAAATTAGTGCTTCAAGTATCAAGAAAGTCCTAATAGAAAAACAAAAATTTCAAGACAGAACTAAGCTTTTCTATTTTACATTTCGAGCATGACAATTTGAATCAGCCAAGTCCAACAACAAACAAAAGTTCTAAGGCACACCTAGGCTTTTAGATTTCACATTACAAGATTGAAAAATTGCAAGTTCCAAAAGAAACAAATAAAAAGCTAACAACATGGTGTCTATAAAGGTGATTTTGTCAATTTATCCAAAAAAAAGAATGCTGTATATAGCAAAACCCTTACAGAAAATAAGGAAGTTTCTTGCATGACTTGATTTCAGGCACTCCATTATTGAAACCACAAATGCCAACAGCACTGATTTCCTTTCCTAAGGGAAGAATTTTCTCTTCATCAAGCAGACCAACCTCAAAAACAGATAAAATTATGATTTTAACAGAGGTGAGCATGTCTATATGAGAAATGACAACACCACAATCAATAAGCAATGTAAACTTCTAGCTTCAAAGAAGTAAAATAAATTGTAGTTTTTCTTAACTCACAGGGTATTTATTACCAAACAAAGCCTGAAGGAATGTACAAGGAGCATTGATAGGATGCAATTGATGATAAACTGTAGTAAGAGGCAGGGAATGCCTTGAGCCATCCGTGTTCACAATGACAAAATCAGATTGTGGCCATTGACCGCCTTCAACCAGATTGAAAGGAACCTGCAAAACATTATTAACACCAAAAGAATTATTATAACAAAAACAGAACAAAAATTCCAATGCTTGAACATAATAAACACATGTAAAAAAAAAAAAAGTTTTAATGGAAAGCAATACACAACTAAAACAATTAAACAAAAAAAAATTTATAAAAAAAATAAAGAAAAGTTGAAATCTTTTAACTTACCGTTCTCATTGAAGTTGACTCTTTTCTATTCCAAGATCTGCCAATAATGGCAAGTAAATCAGAAGCCCCCCTCCATTCATCGTAGATATACTTCATTTAAAATACAAAAGTAATACAATTATTAATTAATAACAGATTAAAACTTTTAAAAATAGTTTTTTGTTTGCCCTTACAGTTTGTTTTCTTTGGATAATAACAGCTTTATCACCGGACTCCTGAGAGAAGAGAACGTTATTCTTGAGGCCATTCTAGCTCCGTCCATCGGAGACCGGTCTTACATCGACGGCGCCGAGAATTACGACGATAGGTTCTTCGGTGGAATCCGACTTGCCTACTTCGAGGAGGGAACGAACGTCGGCCACGCGGAGGGACGGTGAACCACGAATGGTACGGAGGGCGGTGGAGGTTGACTTGAACCGGAAGATTGTGTGGAAGGCGGCGTAGGCTAGGGCTGAGCCTATAACGGCGCCGTCGAAAGATAGGACGAGTCGTGAGATCAAGGACGCTAGGGCTTGTTCATCCGACGACATATTCGTAAATGTTCGTTTTTCGTTGTTCGTCTACATCGGAGGTCGAGTAATTGGTGTCGAAACGGAGGGAAACGGAGGAGAGAGCCTGATCGACCACCCCAGAGTGACTGAGAGAAAGATGGGTGCTGGCTCGGTGGCGGTTTTAGATGTTGTGGTGGGGTGATTGGTGAATTTGTGTCAACACTGAGGGTTTTTTGGTCAATTAATCGATTATAACGAGACTGCGGTGATATGACGGTTTCAATGGAGAATAGGGGGCTAAACACTATTTAGTTTGGAGTTTGGTCAATTAATCGATAATCACTGAGGGTTTTTGGGACTTTGGATTTGTATTATTTTAAAACCAACCCAAATCAAAAATTAAATTAAAAATAAATAATCTAATGATATATATTAATATAAATGTTTTATTATTTTATTTGTATATTCTATAAATATTTTATTCTTTTATTTGTATAATCTTTTTATTTTAATATTTTATTTAAGGTTTCCTTTGAAAAATTAGTCATTATTTAATTTTAATAAAAATTATCAATTAAGGAAATTTAATTTAACAAGAACTTTAATATAATAAGAAAATAAATAAAAATTAATAAATATATTACTTAAGTATAATTAATTAATTAAGAATAAAATAGTTCATTAAATAAATTGTCAAAACTATATATATCATTTACTATTTGTACTTGATTTTGTAATTTATAGATAAAAGATAATTAAATCTATGCTTGGATTGAAGATCAAAATAAGGAAACAAAAAAAAAAGAAAATGGGGAATTTTTTCTTTTATTTGTACATAACATAAATTAAAATAAAAGGAAAGAAGAGATACTTACCTTCTCTTTTCTTTTTTTTTTCATTTTTTAATTATCTTAAGACGAAGGAAAAAAGAATGAAAAAGAAAAGAACAAAATTTTTAAAATATAAACTTTTTCTTAAAATGATTTAGCAACAAAAATGAGATTTTAAAATTTTTATTATTTTCTTTTTCTTTCTTTTTTCTGTAATTTAAGATAATTAAAAAATAAAAAATGAAGAAATAAAAAAGAGGTAAACATTTTTTTATTATTTTAATTTAATTATAAAATATACAAACGAAAAAAATTTTTCTCATTTTCTTTTATTTCTTTTTTATTTCTTTCCTTTATTTCAATCCAAACATAAATTTAAGGACTTTCAGGGTTTCTTTTTCATTTAGATTACTATTAAAATTTGAATTTAAAATTTTTAATCTTGAAATAAACTTCAAATTTACTAAAGTAAATTTGATGTAGGACTCTCCCCTTAACGACAAAAAAAAAAATTTTACTAAAGTAATAACTCATGTGTGACTCTTGAATCACTTTCATATCTAAAAAAAAGGGAAAACCCTCATTGGACCTTTTTAACTGGAAATAATTAGATTCTGTCCTTTGATTAGACGGTTCCCTGGAATTTATTGGAATCGTTCCCTTCAACGCAGGAACTCAATTGTATAGCTTCATGTTAGAGAGGCATGTGAATCGGAAACAGCTACATCCCAATGAAAATTAAGCAATACAGCTAGCATTGCTTATGGTCATGTATGAACACAGTTTAATATTAGATAAAAAGATACCTTGCGTCCAAAGTCCTTAAAATCCCTTTCTTCTTTTTCCTTCTTTTTTTTTTTTTCTTTATTTATTTCTTAAGTTTTGTAAAGAGGGTAAAAAATTACAACGTTTAATAAATCATTTATAAATAATTCAGTTTATATTTTTTTATTAAATTTAATAAATAATCATGAATAAATTTAAATATTTATTAATTAAATAATTAAATTACAAATATAATAAAATATATTTATTTAATTTATTTATTTAAAACATAATTGAATAAAACACTTAACAAACAATTTGTAAACAAAGTTTATCATGATATTCATATTTCATTTATTTACATCCATAAATTTTGCTCATAATTTACCTTTTTACTTTTTCCGCTTTTTGGACGGCTGACTGAATTTAGCACTTTTGTCATCCAATCACAAGCTTTCCAACTAGATTCCTCCATTCCTTTTATCTTCTTCCGCCTATAAACTCAACGCCAACTTCCCATTAATCTTACAAGTTTGGTTCATTTCTTTTGCTAGAGATCAGATACAGTGTCCAGCTAGCTATAGAAATGGCTACCTACACTTACGTAAGCCGAAACCACACATCGCAAAGAGGGGTAGCTATGGTATTGGCTCTGATTACAGCAATTGTTCTATCTCCGTTGTACGTTAGAAGGAAAAGCGAGACGCGTTATTATGAGATGAAATTGAGCTCTGGGTTTGTTCTTCCAATGGTTGTAGCAGGGCTTATTGTTGCCATCTGGACTACATCTTCTTCTTCTTCTTCATCATCAATGCAAAGTGGAGGTAGAGCTTCGATAATTCCATCTCCAGATCCATCGTGGGTGCTCAGAATTGGGAGTTCGTCATGGGGACTAGCTGGTATCTTGGTGATGCTCATGCTTGTGCTCTCATGGCAACAGTCTGTCCAAGAATTCTTTTGGAGATAGATGACTTGTCAAATTCTACTAATAATCCAAGTTTATGTAATATGACAAGAAAAGAATAAAAATTAAATAAAAAAAAAGAAGCAATTTGCTTAGTTAAAGCAAGCTCGCCAATTCTAGTACTCTTCTGTATATTCTTAAGTTGACGAGAGGTTACAACCCTCAATCAATGTAAGCCTTAGGCCTTGTAAAGCGTTAAATTCAAGAACAAAATATTTGACACCATGATCCAACAACAGTCCCATAAAAAAAATGGCATACATTTCAGCCTTTAAGATAGAACCACTGTCAAGTTTTATCGCAAAAAATAAAAAGAAAAAATCCAATGATCTCTGCAATAAAATAACAATTCATATTTATTTTAAAATTTAGATCTATAATACTTATATTAATACCATAGTTTCACGGGAGTATTTTTTTTATTGGATTTTTTTTATTATAGTTAATTAATATAGTAGTTTTTTTTTTTTTGGGTACATATAAAATCTCATTTTTATTACTAAATCCTTTTAAGTTCTCGTTATTCTTTGAGACCCGACCCGAACAAATCCTCTCTGCATTTCTCCCTAAGTAATCGACTTTCGAATCTCTCACCCTCCGCGGCGGAAACACTTGCAGTTTCTGTTCCTATCAATCTCTTCGCAAAGGTAATTTCACTGATTCTTTCTCCATCATCAGTGCACCTAGGGTTTTCCTTTGTTTTGAATTCTGAAATCCGTTAATTCCACTTGTTTAAAAGCTGAGAAAGTTTGATGGATTGGGAACCAAATCCGCTATTATTCTAATGTTATCGCTTTCTGATATGGGGTGAAGGGTCTTGCTAGGGTAATGGCAGAAGGGGAAGAGGACTTGCCTAGGGATGCTAAGATTGTCAAATCACTGCTGAAATCAATGGGTGTTGAAGACTATGAGCCTCGCGTTATCCATCAATTTCTTGAGCTATGGTATCGCTATGTCGTTGATGTGTTGACAGATGCACAGGTCTACTCTGAGCATGCTGGGAAGCAGACCATCGACTGCGATGATGTCAAGCTTGCGATTCAATCTAAAGTCAATTTCAGCTTCTCACAGCCCCCACCCAGAGAGGTAATTTTGTTCTAACTTTTTTCCCAACTTGATGTTCAACGAAATAGCTTTAATTCTATAGCTTTTTGTCCATTTAGTGGCAAAATAACATAAATCTTGTATTTTTATTCCTTCCACCTTTCTTTTTACTATCGTTTCCCTTTCTTTCTTCAATGGCTATGATATGCATGATATTGTTTGTGATGTTGCAATATAAATTGCTTCAAGGGATTACCATTGGCTTGCTTTAGGAAGGGAAGATGTATTTGACGACTGGTCAGACGAGGAAATAATGAAAAACTGCAATCTTATGAGCTTCCTGATGAGTTGGAATGCCCAAACTTTACCCTTTTCTCTATGGTTAGTTAGGATTCTTCTTTGAAAATTCTGAACAACCTTTTTAAGGGAATGCAAAGATTTAAAGTCTTAGATTTGCCAAAATGTGTTTTCCATCCTTGCCTTCCTCCTTCAGTTTCCTAAAAACTCTTTGTAGATTGTGCTTGTGTAATAGCATATTAGAAGATATAGTCATAATTGGAGAGCTAAAGAATCTAGAAATCCTTAGCCTCCGTAAATCTAGAATTGCTAGGCTGCTGAATGAAATAGGACAATTGACCAAACTAAAATGGCTGGATGTGAGTGATTGTTACAATCTTAAAGTAATATCACCAAATGCTTCCTAAAAACTCTTTGTACATTGTGCTTGTGTAATAGCATATTGGAAGATATAGTCATCATTTGGGGAGTTAAAAGAATTTAGAAATCCTTAACCTCAGTAAATCTAGAATTGCAAGGCTGCTGAGTGAAATAACCAAGCTAAAATTGCTAGATGTGAGTGATTGTTACAATCTTAAAGTAATATCTAGATTAGAAGAACAATACCTATATAATAGCTTTGATAGATGTGAGGTTGAAGGACATGACAATTCAAGAAGCAAGGCTATCCTTGTTGACTTACTGCATTTGTCTCATCTGACCACGTTGGAAGTACACATTCAGAATGAGCAAGCTATGCCAAAAGATAACTTGTTTTCAGAAAAGTTGGAAAGATACAAGATTTCCATTGGTAGTTTGTTTTTCTTTGTGTATCATGTTCTCTACGGAAGCAATATATAAATACAGATTGTGAAAATATTTTATCTTTGCTCTTGTTAGGTGCTATTGGAGTTAGCGAGAAATAGGAATAAAGTTCCGTTGCCAAAGGCAATACCAGGACCTGGCATTCCCCTCCCACCTGAGCAGGATACATTGATCAGCACAAACTACCAATTTGCTATCCCTAAGAAGCAACCTGCTCAGGCAATGGAAGAGACAGAAGAGGATGAAGAAAGTGTTGAACCTAATCCCTCGCAAGAGCAGAAGGCAGATATGCCACACCCAACCTCTCAAAGGGTGTCATTTCCCCTTACTAAGCGCTCAAAGTGAGGATTCTTTTTCTCAGCTTTGTAAGATGTTTCAGCAACCCTTTTATGTAGTATATATGCATGAAGTTGTATCATTATTAAAGAAAATGAAGAAAAACAAGGTTGATGTTTCGTCTGTTATCATGATTAGATGTGATGGATCATTGTAATCGTATCAAAATTCTGCTTCCGGTGTTCGCGTTAATGTTATTCACTCCTACTGGCAATTTGGGCAGTATATTATTGTGCGCTTATAAAATGAATGTGGGTTGGAAAGCTGTTGAGCAAAATTTTCAGAAGAATTGAGCAATTAAGGCCTTTAGGTAATGTTTGGAGTATAGGATGATAGATAGGATAAAATGATAATTATTTTGTATTATATTTTATTTGTATTTAAAGAAAATAATAGAATTATAAAAAAATTTAATTATTTTTTTTGTATAGAATGTTTTAATCTTTTCAAAAAATGAAGATGATTTTTTTTAGTTCAAATGATTAAATTTATATATATTATTATATTTTTAAAAATTATATTAATAATTTAAATTATATAAATTTTAAAAAAATAATTTTAATCAATAAATAAATTATTTTATTTTAATCCTGACATTATTTAATATAATTTTATTTATAATTTTATTTTATTTTACCTTTTCTTAATTTTGTATATCCAATGAATCTTTAGAGACTTAGAACATCCAAACGCGACCTCGACCAACAATATTAAAAAGTTTTTTAATACAGATCTTTGCCAGACACAATGTCTGGTCTCTATCCTGTTATTTTCTTGTCGAGAGATTCAAATCGAATCCCGAAGTCACCATCAGCCAAGTAGATTTTTAGTTGTTTAACATGGACGAAACAAATTCTGTTTTGGGATTATGAAAATCTAACATAAAATTGCATTAATGGAGGCAACTATTGAGAAATCAATCGGTTTAATTCTTTGTTGAATCCAGTTAGCCAATGCTTCCCAGTAACAGAACCATATAGCTTGCTTGTTCTGTAAAAATATTTACCATTTATAAACAAGGAAACCCATTGCCTTTTTTTTTTCTTTCCTTTTCTGGGTCTAGCATAAACAATCAAAACAGGGTCAACTTCTTGAGGCAAGAATACTACTAGCTGGAGGCCCAGCACTGGAAACAGGTAGGCCTCGGTTATACATGCGCTGTATCTCTTCCCTGTACTCTGTCAAAGACTTGTCAGGAATGGCTGGTGTTAGCTCCACCACATCACCCATCTCCAGCCTGCATGTAGGATCGCTAACTGGCGCATGATTCAGCCTTGGCCTCAATTCTTCCTTGACAGGAAACCCATATGGAGACCATCTTGAGTTTCCCCGCCCAGCTCTTTCCAGCAAATCCATCATTGTTGAGTTTGCAGGAAACTCTTGCACTGACATCTGCAACATTCATAAACCATAAATATTCAGACCAAAATTCTGATTACTGCAAAAATATCAAATTCACGCATGAATTATTCTTTCTGCAGTAAAATGACCCCCCCCCCCCCCCCAAAAAAAAAAAAAGAAAAAACACATATTTGATTAGGCAATGGCACAAGCTTTACTCCCATGTTAAAGCATTGATTCACTTCATCTTTGTCTTCCATTTAATTGGAAAGATAAGCTTCAAGCATGTGGTAAACAATGACCATGCCAACATGAAAGCAATGAAGCATCATTTAAGAAACATACCTTATCATTTTCAATCATGATGACAAAGACAGGTCCATCCTGGCTGCAGCGTGGCTTATAAGAAAATGGGCAATCATCCGAATGGGTAGGAAATGTGCAGGGTGGTTTGAGAGAATCAGTATAACCAATTGAAGATTGGTCCCTGCTCATTGTTTCACAGTGCCAAGTCACAACCCATCGAGCCCACTCAACCATCTGAAGTACAAATGAAGAGTGCTTGCAGTCACCCTCCTTATATCTCCAATGTGCTGCAAAGCCAAACTCAGCTTGCAAATGCATCTCCTTTGTTCGAATTTGAACTTCAAGTGGAACTGTGCCTTCACCCATCACTACCGTGTGCAAGGACTGATACCTGCAGATTTAAAGGAAGTTAGAAGGAACTTCTGCATTGTTAGATTTTCATCTAAGAACAATGCCAGAGCATATTAAGCTATAACGTACCCATTAAATTTGGGGTGAGTTATATAGTCCTTCATCTTTCCAGGTACTTCAGACCATAACTGGTGAACCACTCTCAAAGCCCCATAACAGTCTTCTTTGTTTTCAACAATGACACGTAGTCCATGAATATCATGGATTTCATCCATGGTCAATTTTTTCCTGCAAAAAAAACAAAATAATTTCACATCAACTATGTAAATTTTATTTGTTTAGAACATGAGAAAAAACAAGAAATGGTGTAAAATCATTTAATTATCCCATCACAGCCAGATGAGAACACAAAAATATGTTGCTACAATCAATACACATCAATACCAACACTTCATTAGATACAGAAACAAACGTCATTAAGAATAAACTCAGAAATTGATTTATAGCCTTGGAGGACCACAAAACTTCTTTGTAAGTCTCAATTCAAAAAGGCCACTATCGCCCAGCATTAATCTTCACAACAACATTGATCACTTTCTCTTTCACGCTAACATCTAGCAAGATAGTATTACAGCCTACTCCTTCACTCTTTGCTTAATCAGTTACTGACCAAATTCTACAACCAAATTAAAGAAAGATTTCTAAAACACATCTAGTCTTTCTTCCGAGAAAAGACTACATTTTCAGGTAGTTGGACATGCACACAACAATGTTTGGGGGTGAGTGTGTGTCTGTGCGAATGCCTCTCAGTGAAAGTCAAGCTTGGGAGTGAATGTGCATGTAAATGAATCTCTCCACAGGCTCCTTTGGCTGCCATAGGCGTTTGTGTGTGTAAGAGAGAGAGAGAGAGAGAGAGAGAGAGACAGAACATACTTCAACATCTTCGAATAAATGCTGTATAAGCTTTTATGTCGTCCATAGAGAACATGATAAGGAATTTCTTTATCCTTAAGACCTCTCTCAAGTTTCTCTATAGCAGAACTAATCATTGCCTCATCAAAGGAATCCAAGAGTCTAGAGGACAGTTCTTTGTGCTGATCAGGATTGAGATGCTTGAAACATAGATTCTCTAGTTGCCCCTTCCAACTAGAGATTCCTAAACGATTGGCCAAAGGTGCAAATATTTCCAAAGTCTCCTTAGCAAACCTCTGTTGCTTGAGAGGAGGTAAAGCATCCAGTGTCATCATGTTATGCAGCCGATCCGCCAATTTAATAAGAACAGCTCTTGCATCGGCCATGGCAAGGAACATTATGTGCAGGCGATCTGCTTCAACAGTTTTGCTTGCTGTATTATTTTCTCGTGCTAGCTTACTCAGTTGGCTAAGCTTGGAGACCTATGCGAATGCCATAATAGAATAATTAGAAGCTTATAATCTAACATCCTAAATGGAAAGAATGTTGATTGATACAAAGCAAGAAAATTACAAGGAACTTAAAACCAACAAAGTGGCAGCCATGAAATGCTATCTAAATGCTCAAGATTGAGGAAGCTTATACCTAGATATTTTTAGTTTTAAATAGGAAATGACGTTCAAGCTAGAACACCAGTGTCTATGTTAATTTAATTACAAAGAGAAGGAATAAGAACAACATATACTACAATGACTGTCCAATAGCCCTGTATTTTGTCGGTACAACCTCATCTACAATCATTTATATACAGCAGCCATAATAAAGCTACAGCTATTTGCCTCATTCAAATATGGTAATAAACTAAAGGTAATAATATGCACGTCCTATAATATGAGAAATCAACTAAATAAGGCATCAAAAATAGTATTTCATTCATGCACCATTAGATTGCTAACTGAATATACCAAAAATTCCAAAGCAAGACAAGGAAATCCTAACAGTAAATCATTTGGGTTAGTATAAACATCAAGTAACACATTATACAACAGAAATTCATATCTCATACCCCTTCAACTAAATCAGCAACCCCGGCGCCAAATGTTCTAAAAATGTAGTCATAGCTCAAGAATGAATCATCGAGGGTATCATGTAAAAGCCCTGCAGCAACTACCGTGGAGTTAGCACCAATGGATGCCAACAACACTCCAGTTTCTACACAATGTTGCAAATAAGGATCACCACTCGCACGCATCTACAAGACAAAGAACTTCACATTACCCTTCAAACGATCTGAAACAACAAAAAGTTAAAATCAAAATTAACAGTGATTTCTCTGTTTGTACCTGCCCTCTATGTGCCTTCTCTGCTTCATAAAATGCCTTGATTACAAAATCTTCACAAAAGATTTTGTGCCTCATTTGTGCATCTGAGAGCAACTCCTTAGCATGAGGATCTGAATTCACTTCCTGCATGAAATTATCCTCCATAGTAAACGGTAATTCATCAACACAACCAGTACTTTGAGCCTTAAAGCTCGGGGTATCATAATCAATACAAGACCCTAACGCACCCCTAACGAATCCATTCAACAATCCATTAGTCCCACCACGGAACGAGCCCTGAAAATTCCCATCCCCACCCTTTTCACGAACAATTCTCATCGGAGGACTGCTGCTACTACACGAAACAGAGCACTGAAACACCGATACTGGGCTCTGATTGGTTTTCAAAGAAGAACCACCGAATTTACTTGATGAATAACAAAATGAACTGCTTAATTCCTTCAATTCTTCCCCTCTATAGGGCCCCAAATCCTCTCCTCCACCGCTAGAAAGGCTTGATTTTACCGAAGGTGAGGAAAAGAGACGTGATAGGCCACCGACAATGGGTCTCTGGGAAGAAGAGAAAGCCGTTGTTGAGGAAGTTGAAGACGAAGATCTTGAATTCAAATCGAAATCGTAGGAAGCGTGAGAATTGATGTTGATCTGGTGCGGCGTTGAGCACATGCCGCTCGGTGGACTCACGTAAAGAGCTATTGTTGACACCGCCATGGCTTACGAGCAACCCAGACCGATTCCCAAACAAATTGGGTTTTATTAATTAACAATCAAAACCCAGTATTTTCCTCCAGGAAAACAACGATTTTTCTCAGATACCGAACAAACCCACAAATTTTCTCGAGAAATAACAAAACCCAGAAATTTTCTCAGCACCCAAACAATTTCTGAAATGACAGAATAAATTTTTATTTTTCCATTAAAAAAAACCAGTAAATTTCTCTAAAAAAAACCAACAATTTTCACAGCACAAGGGTTTTTTCTACTATGAAGAACCAATGAACTTTGTTGAAAGAGACCCAATTGGGATCTGAAGAGTAAGTACTATAAAGCAAAGAACTGTCTTTGATTAAATAGTTAAAAACAGAAGAGAAAAACCAAAGAATCCAAAGGAAGAAATTATTTGAAGAGAAGAACTTTCAGCTACACTATTTACAAATATATAGGAAATTTTTCTACTTAAAAAAATTGACAATTTACTCAAAATAAGAAAATATTACAATTTTTTCTTTTTTTCTTAAAACAGACAGTCCAAGGCGCTTGAGATTGTTGAAATGAAAGCTTGAAAGAGAGAGCTTTCGTTTCCAGTTTCTACTTTGATTTTTCCTTTGAGAATATATTTTTGTTCTTTCTTTTTCTCGGGAGTTGTTTATCATGGAAAATGGTTTGCGGCCAGGGAAGGAACAGTTAAATTACAGAGGTGTCCTTGGGGATTAACAGAATTAACTGAATAGGCCAACTTTTAAACATGTTGAGTTGCCATCCAATTTTGCCTTTTTTTTTTTTTGTTGGTCAATTAAGAACTGATTTTTTTACCAAAATTATGATTACAGTTGAGTTTTACCAAAATTAAGGAATGATAACATTAAAATGTTAGTGTGCTCTGATTTAAATGATTTTAATTACAATAAGATATATTTATAAAAATGTTAAATTTTTTATTTTAATGATCAAAACTTAATTATTTATTTTTTAAATTAAAAAAAAAACTAAACACAAAGAATTTAATATATTATTTAAAGATGGATTAATAATAAATTTTAAATTTTAAATTTATTAAATAATATTTTTTAAATAATTACGTGAGTCAATTCAAATTTTATTAAGATAAAACTTACTTTAATAAATGCAGAGAGATCAATTCACATTAGTTTAGATTTTTTTAATTTTATTTTTTAATTATTAATTTTTAAAAATAAAAAATAAATTTAAATTATTTTTTATTTATCCCTCTTATCTTTTAAATTTATTAAAATTAATAATTAAAAAGTATAAATATATAAAAAAATTTTAATGTGACTTAAGTCCTTCTCTGAATAAATATTCTTATTAAATAAAAATTAAAGGAATATCCCATTCTTGATAAGATAAAATTAAACATAAATAAAAAGGATAAGGATAAAAAGGACAAAAACAATAATTAGTTAAACAGATTCGAGGAAAAATCAGAGAGCTATTATAATCCTAGATCGAAACCCATACCTAAGTAGGAGATTGATTTCTTTAATTGGGAAAAAGCACCTTACCATATGAACAAAATTTATAATATACATTTATTAATTTTAATTATGCAAGAGACTTCACTTTGTTCTTATCTCTTTGATATTTTCTTTAATTGTTAATTTTTTCAAAGGTTGTGTTCCAATTGCTTTACAAGCAAAGCAAAGCAAAGGCGCCCACATGATTCATGTTTGCTTTAGGTGTACAACAACTTGGATGTGGGCTCCAATTTATTGATATTTTTGTTTACGAGAATCGTTGTCGTGGTGCGGGAATTTCTGAAAGCAATGCGTGCTTTCTTGTTCTCCCACCGCATCTTCCAATTGAAAAACTGCAACCCTGCAGAGCAAACGGCAGAGTGTCGCTTCCAGGCCGCCGGCCAACAATTTTTGCTTGGCATTGTTCATCGTGACTCATGGAAGATGCCATTTCTTCTTTAACATTGGGACTCCATCTACAAATTCTTCTGCTCCTTTACTATACTTTCAGTTCTTCTGTTGGCTCCTTAAAATTTTGATTTAAGATAAAGAAAAAAAAAAAAAGAACACAAAAGTTAGGGGAACCATAAAAGAAATGTTTAACCTCTTTTTTTATAAAAAACTATTATACATGCTGATATTTAATTTTTAAATTTATTAAATTTTATTTTTTAAAAGTAATTATATGGATAAATTAAATTAAATTTTAAATTTAAAAAAAAATTTTACTATTGATATGCTGTATTTAGAATCTTCTATTTTATTTGAGTGATGTGGTGCCTCGTTCCATATTAAATGGATTCCACACTTTAAGAGGGGTTAAATCCAATTATTAGAGGTGGTAAAGAGTAGCTTATGTTTTATGGGTTAGAATAAAATTAATAATTAAATTTTTGTTAAAAATGTTATTTTTCATTTTTTTAGTATTAATATTAAGTCGGAGTTATTATGGGTTTGGATCTTATTGATTTAAATTTGATTAATTTTGAATTTAAAATTTTTTAAAAAAGATTTTAAATTATGTTTGTTTTACCACTTTTATAAATTTGGGTACAAACATTATCACGAATGACAACTTGACAATTAGGAAGATACAACTAAATTACTAATTTGAATGTAAATTAATAAATTAATTTAGTATTTGTTTAGAAGGTATATACATTGGTTAGATTTTTAAAATTTACAAAATTTGAAAGGATTAAAAAGCGTAATGCTATCCTCATGTGAATTAATTAGATAATAATTTGAGGTTGAGATGGATTAAGAATTACAAAAAGAAAATGTTAATTTTTAAGTAAAATGTAAATATTATATATATAATATATGAGTGAACAAATGCTTTTTATCCTTTAATTATGAAAAGCTTATTGAATAAAAAATGTCTACCAATTTTAAAATATCAGTTATATCCTATCAATACCTCTTAAATGCAAGTTAATTATATAAAAGATAAACTTTAATACATGATTTAATTATATAATTAAAAAATTATATAAAACAATTATTTCATATCAATATATCTATCATTTTCATTAAAGTTATGATAAATAATCACATTTAAAATAAATCAACTATTTATTATAATAATCATTAATAAATTTATTGAAATATATATTTACTATTTAATTATAACATATGATGTATAATAAATAATTAATTTTTAATACAATTTAAATGAAAATAATATAATAACTATTTGATATAAATTTTTATTATTGAGTTGTGTCGCTTTAGTACGTCTTACTGTGAAATTATACACAGCACAAACATAGAATAGAAATGTGACTCAAAATACATGTTCCCTTCCTTTTCAGCCTTAAGGGCTAAGGTTGGATGTCACCATTTAGCAACTAATCACGTGCGTGCACGTGAAGTGTATATCTTCTCTCTTTTTTTTTCGGATAAATTTATCTATTCGCAATATTATATATGTGAGAATATACGTACATAACAAATTTTTCTAGAGTATACGTATATATGTGAGAATATACATACATTATGAGAAGAATTTTTAAATTTTATAAATAATATTAAGATTTGTTTCATATATTATTTTCTTATCGTAACAATATATTAATATTGCTAAATATATAATTATAAATTGTTAATATAATACTAAATATATTATTATATATACGAGATGTATAAGTAGTGAATGATGTGATTTATTAAAAAAAATTAAATTTTTTATTTCAATAATTAAGTTTTATTCCTTTATAAATGTAAATACCAATAATATATATGATATGAAGTATATGATAATCTTTTAATTTATCGGTGAAAATTTTAAATTTTACGTTGTACTTGAGATTTTTTTATTAAGGTTTTGTGCAAGAGTTTTAAAGCGGATATAATGCAAGATTTACAAGATGCAAATAAAAAAAAATCGACAATCATAAAAAATTAATGATTTTCAAAAAGGGCATAACGGGAAAATTGGAGTTGGTGATGGTGATGATTCTCTCCATATTTCAAGAGAAGCTCTAGAACACACTCAAGTCCACGATAACGACTTCCCTCCTTCCCACACACAATTCCCTTTGAATTTCCCTTTTTTTTTTGTTTTTTTATTGACAAAAACAATCTCGTGACAGTTCGTCGGCAGCACGTGGGATATGCTCAGCGTAGTCGGCCGGCACGTGTTAATTGCGCAGATGGCGATTTAGGTGACGTTGGGCCTTCGGTCGGGGCACGTTCACGGTCCGTGACTCACTACCTCTGTCAAGGCGCTGTCTCGTGCGTCGACTTAGCTCCGCGAATTTAGGGGCTGCAGTCCAAAGTCTGTATCTTGGGCGAGCGGTGCTAAAAATACAGCAATCATGGACCGTTAACTTGTTTGGTATTGGACTTTTGTGATTGGTTGAAAACTCGTCTTGTGGACAAAGTCAATTTGCCACCGTACCATAGCCGAGCTGTGAGCTATCTGCCAACAGTAACAATTGTATTCCAGCTTTCCCAAGGCCAAAGATGTTTGTAGGTAACACATATTCATATCCGAGGTATTTCAAGTATTATATTTTTTTATTACAAGTTTAGATCATAAATCAAAATTATTTAACTATTTATAAATATTAATTATATATATTATTTTAATAGATCATATATAATTTAAGTTTGTGATTAGTTAGTTTCCCGAAAAAAATAAAATAAAATTTGATTATTTTATCTGATGTTCTAGAATAAACATAAATTGAAATGGGAGATTGATGATTTATGTGCTTATAATTTAACAAATTTACTTTAACTAGAAATATGCATGCACGCTGTACGAGTGGAAGAAAGAAAATTGGAAGAGAAGAAATTAATTATGGGTTTTTTTTTTTGAAGGAGACGTTCTATAAGGTTTTAGGAAGAAATAGCCAATAGTAACATTTTTAAACAAATGGTTTAAGTATAAAAAATCTTTAAATATAAATTAAATAATTATTCAAGTTTTATTATTTTATTAAAATTAATTATCTCTAAATATTTATTTTTATTCATTTAAAATTTTAAACATATATTTTCACATAATTGAGCTCTCAATTGAATAAAAATAGATATTTGATAATTAATCAATTTTTATTTGATAAAAATCAATTGATGAAATAAATGTTTAAAAACTTAATTAATTATTTATTTACACTTATTGCCTTTAAAGTTATATAAACATTAAAAGATAAAAATTATTTTACTTTATTGTATTTTGTGCGTGTTTTTTCAACTGAATTAATATCACCTGTAATATCAAAACTTAGCCACGCATTTTTTATGTATTATAGATGAGAGTCTTGATGCACATAATTAATTGTACATTAGATGTCGTAGCTCATTAAGTAGTGGGCTAAGAGTGTAAAACTCCCTAAGTAGCTCCTAAAATGTGATAGGGGGGACCATTATGATCATTATCATTAACAATCTTCTAAGTAGCAACCTTTGATTTAGTCCCAACAAACATCTTTCTAAAACCACGATGAATTTGTAAAATTATAAATTAAAGTTTTTAGTTAAATTAACATGGGAATAAGTGTACAAATTTACTTGTGAAAATTTAATAATCATAACGGTTGCATATAATTATGACTAAAACTATTTAATTTAATCAAATAATAAAATATCTTTTGAAACTAAGAAAATTCAGTGAGAATAAAAAGTGAAAATTGGGGAGAGATTTTATTTTTTAACAAAAGAGATTATAGAATAACAAATAAAAGAATTATAAATACTGAAATTTAATTTTTAAA